GAAAGCATTGTTTCCGCTGGCAGATACAAGCCAACCCTCTGAGGGCCCTTGACCAGGCAAGAACAAACAGAGACAAAGAAAAACACTTTTTATAGACTGCATCATACAGGACCTTCAACTTTCAATATGTGCCAGAAGCCATTGCCATCTTCCAACACTGTAGACTGCTTCTGTGTTGTATTTTATTTTTATTCTCAAATGTCAGCTGCTGGGGAGGAACTGTAAAGCTACACATTTCACAGAAGTAACAGCAATCGAAAAACTCGAAGAAAGATAAACGGCACTAATCACCTTTAATGGAAATACAATGTAACTGAACCTGTTCTTTACTTAGTTATTTGTTTATTTTTACAAATGAGTCTATGATGCTGGATTTTTTATACTCCCTCCCATCACACATGCTCACATGTACACACTGTAACATATTTATTTCCATATTTTAAATGCAAAATTATTAACCACTAGTTAGATATATCCAAAATATTGGTCACTTTGTTAGACACACCTGTTCACCTGTTCAGTAATGCAAATATCAAATCAGCCAATCACAGGGCTGGAATTCATTTAGGCATTTAGACATAGCAAGCAAAATGGGAAACAAAGGTGATCAAGTGACTTTAAGCATAGCATCGGCTGGTCTGAGTGTTTCAAAAACTGCCAAGAAACTGAGCTTTTTTGGCACAACTATCTCTAACTTTTACAGAGAATGGTCCAAAAAAGAGAAAATATCTAGTGAGCAGTTCTCTAGTTGTAAATATTTTGTTCATGCCAAAAGTCAAAGGAAATGGCCAGAGTGCTGATAGGAAGGCAACAATAACTCAAATAAACACTTACTGAAACTACGGTATGAAGACAACAACACATCAAACTTGAAGTACAGGGGCAACAGCAGTAGAAGAAACAAGAATCTAAGGATGCATTTCATCAGAGTGGGATGACATAAGATTGGAAAATGTTGCCAATTTTTTTTTTCTTTACAGTCTCAGTTTCTATGGAGACATTTGGATGGGTGGGGTCAAAATTTGGCATAAACAATATGAAAGCACAAATCCATCCTGCCTTGTATTAACTGTTCAAACTGCTGGTAGTGGTGTAACAGTTGAATAAATGTTGTGGGAGATTCACATCACAGATGTGCAGATGACATGATTGTACTTTCTCCATATGTTTGTCCTGTTTATATCTCTTTTATAATTTCAGTTTTCGCACACTGTGCATTTAAATGGGGGAACTGCTAGGTATGGGCTACCCTGTACAAATGAAAGTTGATTTACTTGCCTCAATTAGTGATCCTGGAGGAGACATAACAAAGACACGAACTACAAATTTCTTGCTGTCTGCTGGTGTGAGTGTTTGGTTAGTAAAGTTTTGTGCAGCTGTTTTACCTGCTGGTGCACCATCAGCCTAACACAGCCCAGTGCTTGAGGAATCCATGTTATTGAGACAAGCTGTCAGTACCTACTGACTAGGGGGAGACAGAGAAAAACAATAACACTGCAAGAAGAGGGCAGAGGGGAGCACGAAAGCTAGGGATAGCTCAAGGGACTGTGATTGAGACAGAGTGCAAGTGATGCATAGCTTCAGCTATGATGTTCGTGACTGAATTCTTGACATGTTTTACTATCTTGTAACCCTGAGCTGTGTTGGTAAACTTACCGTCGAACAACTCTGCAGATAGTATCACTTTAATATTACCTTTTGCCACTGGAACAGTAAACACAAAGCTGTAAACTTGCAGATGATGGGCTCTAAACTGTAGCTTTAGAGATAAATCGTGTATGTATAAAGCAATATACTTTAACAGAAGGAATAATATATTTGATAATGAAGGGAATCAGGTGTCACACTAAAGGTTCTACTACTGTAATTTCAACGATTTTTGCTTGTTTTAGCTCATCTTGGAAGGATCTGCAATAAAGCAAATTTTTGTACACTCTGTTCATTATCTGTTCACAGTCATGTGGTTTGCAGTATTTCAACACAGACATTACTTATTTGATGTCTGTCATAACTCCAGCATTTGATGTAGCTGTTCTGACTCATGGATGAGTTAATGTTCTTTAGGAGATTGAAAATGGGTTCCTTTCACATTTGAGTTCCTTATTTGAGCATCTTTCAAAAAGACAGTTTTGTGGTGGTCATTTCTCTGTGCCTATAGGGATGGTGTGAGAAAAGTGTATGATGGGTGCATACTGTTTGATTGAGGTGTGTGTCTGTGACTCAGCTGTCATTGTCTGTTGAAAGAGGCTGTAAATCCAACTCCAGACACGCTTTCTGTTAATAGGCTTTTTATGCCTGGTGTAAATGACAAAAGGTATGAAGTTTATGGTTTCTTTTAAATATATGCACATACATACTCGCACAGAATTAACATCACCTCTGTCCTGCTTGAGTCTACGCATGATGACACAAAGTGTTTCTCATATGGCGTTCTTCTGATAAGAAATGTTTACATGTTTTAAGAGCCATAGTCTTTTACAATTGCTATATCATTGTTATTGCTCCTATGTGTCTTGGTTAAAAATGAGAGATTTTCTGGAGTAATTCGTGTGCACATAACTAAAGTGAGAATTGTACTGAGTATAAACATATCATTTGTTTGAGAAGAGAAAAGTACTTATCAACAATATGTATCATGGGTGCATATTACTGTCATTAAATTTAAAATGCATTTATTTTTTCTAAAAAGAAAAATAAAGTCTCAGTGCACATTTATAACAATAATCATAATGTTCTTTTTGTGCCATTTTCCATTAAATGACTTTTATGACTTGCAAATTATAGCATTCTTTTGTGTTATCTTTATTTAACACAGCATTCCAAATTTTGAAATTAGGCTTGTAGAATTGCACGCAGTATTGTAAAAAGGACAAATTGTTGGAAAGCTTTTGCAGAAAATCTGCTAATGCTCTGAATTTAAAGCAAGTTTGGTGCATTAAGGTAAATTTACACACCATTTGGCACATGAAATTTTCATGTGGTCTGCCAGCGAATTGTACTGCTGGTATTTCCATTGAGTTTTGTGAAGCGTTAGAAAGACTCCGTTTCTTTCTCACTTATTTTTGCTTTTTTTCTTACTAATACACTGGGGAAAACATTTTTTGAAACCCTGCTGAATTCGTAAGTTTGTTCACTTACAAAAAAATGAACAGTCAGTGGAAATATCGAATATCAACCAAAAATTGATTTATATAGCATTGATTGAAATAAGTATTTGTTCTCCAAGCAAATAATAACTGAATATTTGTTAGCAAGCACAGTAAGACGCTGCTTGTAGTTGGTCACCTGGTTTGCACACATCTGACGAGGGGTTTTGTCACTTTCCTTGGCTTTCTAAATCCTTTTAGTTTCTTGGCTGCTGTTTGGCAACTTATAGCTCCCTCCACAGATTTTCCATAGGATTGAGATCTGGAGACTCGCTAGGCCATTCCATGACTTTAATTTGCGTCCTTAGCCGCTCTTTGCCTTGGTGTTATGTTTTGAAGACCTATTCACAACCCATGTTCAGTCTTCTGGCTAAAGGAAGGAAGTTCTTATCCAAGATTTTACACTGCATTGGACCCTCGGTGCATTAAAGTCATCATGTACCCTTAGGAGAAACATAGCCTCAAAGCTTAATGTTTCCACCAATGTTCTTGACTGTGGGAATAGTATGCATTTCTCTTCCTCAACACATAGCAGGTTGAGTTGCCAAAAAGCTTGATTTTGGTTTCATCTGACGCAGCACATTCTCCAAAACATTCTCTAAATCATTTAGATACTCAATATCATGTCATGTGCGTTATCAAGCAGATTTGCAGATTTCAGTCCATTACAGCGTAGTGTGTTACCAGTGGTGTTCTTGAGGACTGTAGTGCCTTTTGATCATTAACAAACTCCTATATAGTTTTACGCTGCACCCCGTCACCTTTTCGTGATCTTCATCCCCTTACGAGGCAAGATCTTGCATGGAGCTCCAGACTGAGGGCAACTGATGTCCATTTTATATTTCTTCCATTTCCAAATAATCGCACCAACAGTTGTCACTTTCTCACCAGCTTCTTGGTTACAGTCTCGTAGCCTGTTCCAGCCTCGTGTAAGTCTACAGTCTTGTCCCTGACATTCTTTGACAACTCTTTGGTCTTGCCCATTGCGTTGGAGAGGTGGGAATAGATGAAATTGATTCTGTCGACGGGTGTGCTTTATACACATAACAAGCTGAGATCAGGAGTGTCTGTAATTGATTGTGTGCTTGAATGTTATGTGCACCACACGGGCATAGAGACAGTTTTTGAGAGCCAGAATTCTGGTTGGGTTGAAGTGCATCAAATCCTTATTTCACTCCATGACATGCAACTTTTATATAATCTGTTTATTCTGGATTTTTTTTCACATTCTGTCTCTATAAATTAAAATAAAACCACGATAAAAATTAGACTGTTCAACCTTAAAATATTTCCCCAACTGTATATACAATTATTGTGTTAAATTTTTTAGTTGCAAAAAGGTTTTTGGTTGACTTCTTTTTTCTTTATCCAAGCTGCCAAAACTCCAATTACTTGCAAAAAGACTTGTTTTTTGCCCAAGTGAAGGACTGATTTGGCGAATGATGAAATGAATGGATGAATGATCTTGTGTCTGACTGGATCCATTAGATCTTTCAAAATCATTGCATTGTGCACTTTGTTTCCATAGCAACTTCAGATTTCTCTGCAGAAATACTAGTTAAAGGACAAAGAGTAGATACCTCCTTTTTGAGAGCTACAGCTTTTGAGAGCTACAGCAAGCTCTCAAAAGCTGGTACCCAAGAAAGTGGTTTGACATACAGCTAACTGCTAAAAAAGCCTTGACATTTTCTTAGTGAAGAGATAATAAAAGATTTCAAAGTTCACAGAGATATAAAATAAATATGCTAAACCTATAAAAATGTCTTTTATCTGCAAAATTGTGCTTTGTCTTTTAGCATGACATCAATTACTATTGTAGCATCCTAAGTAAAACCTTGTTGTTCTGTCTTTAAGGTCACAGAGAATGAAAAGAAAGTTGCTGGGAGAAAAGAGAAGAAGGAGGCGGTACAAACACCACCTCCTGTCATCATGTTCCCAGGGTCCGGTCGCAACATCACCAAGGGTCTACGAAGACAGAAGAGGGACTGGGTAATCCCACCAATCAATGTGGCTGAAAATTCTCGAGGACCGTTCCCTCAGATGCTTGTCAGCGTAAGTGACAGATTTGATTGGCCGCGTCGCTGATGTGTTCTTAATTTACAGCTGGGATTTCTTGAGGGCATTTAACAAGTAAGGCTGATTGGGATATGTATAATGGATGGTGATAAATAACAGAAATACATTAGCATAACTAGTTTGTTTGCCACATCCTTGCAGATGATTATGCTGTGTTCCCCTGATGCAGCTACAGCCACAATGCCTTACGGTATTTAAACAGCCCTGATTGACCCTGAGAAGTTTTCCCCTTAGACACCTAAACAGCAAACTCTTGCACAGTGTGAGGTCCCATAGGGTCACAGTGAAGCTAATGATTGTTTATTCCTTTTTTATGCATCTTTTCTTTCCTTTATCAGGTTATTTCAGAAAGGTTGCTTAAGGTTCAGTTCTATTTTTATAACTGTATAACAATGCAATTTGTCACAGAAGTTTTAGTGAAGCCTCTTGTTTGATATGAGAAGAAAGCATGAAATCCTGCCATTCTCAAAGTCAAAAGAGTAGAACAGTATTTCTTTTCTTCTGTGCCCTAATAGGCACATTAGTTTATTGGTTTAGAACTTCCTGTAAGTAAAGAAGCAGCAGAAAAACATGAAGAGTGTATAACCATGTCTTTGTTTAGCATTCAAAATCAGAATTCATCAACAATTACAGATGGAAAATTTATTTCTGTAAAACCTTTGCTTTTTTGATAAGGCTGTAATTACACGCTATATATAAGTGCTGCATGTCGAAGGTTAGAGGCTGAGCCCGCACACCTGTCGAATAAATTAATAAATAAATGTTTAACTTGCTGTGCAAAGGCTTGAGTTGCAGGAGGTTTAAAATTCAGGGATTCTGTCACAACAGAATGTGTGGTTTGACTCGCTCATAGGCAAGCTCTTGACTTTAAGATTGCGGTGCACGCTGTAACTCATCAAAAAACATTCCACAAGACTGCTGCTTTATTCGCTGCTGCTTCTTTCCTTCTCTCTTTATCTGGAATATCTAGCCATCAGCTTTTCCTTGCTGTTTACAAAACTCTCATAGTTTATCTCTTTGGGGTTTAAAATTGTGCAAAAGAAGCAGATTTTTCCTATTGTTTCTGTTCTTTGTTTTTCAACTGGGTTTCATCCAGTCCCCAGGGAAAAGCCTGGGGAGCTACTTGAAGGAAACTTTTTTTTTCTTCCATAGTGAAACAAAAACATCAAGTCAAAGAGGAAGGAGTTTGTAAGTCTGTGTTTTGGAGTGAGTGCCTCTACAGCTGGACTGTGTCCCATCAGCCTGGCACAGTGTGGCTTTCTCATCTGAGCCTGCTGAGCCCATGAGTAGTGCTACACCAGCAATAAACTGGCCAGACAGTTCTTCTATTTCCATGAGCTGGTCAGAACCAGAGAGAGACAGAGGAGATGGCGAGGGGGAAAGAGAGAGAGGGTATCAAAGGAACATTTGGAAGCATAGTTTGCAGCCAAACACAATTCACTTTGTGTGGTAAATAGGTCCGTCAGGGGCTAGTGGATTGCTGAGAGCTGAGCGTTTCGAGCAGAGGAGAAGTGATGCGTGTTGATGCCTCTGTTGGACTCTCAAGCTCCCGTCTTTCTCTTTAATGATGACTGGAGGGCAGGAAAGGCCATACTGAGAGCTAGAGATTTTAACAAGGACACAGGGGTGGACGGCATGGGGATAATTTTGCCATACTTGTTTATCTGCTTAGTCCTTTCTAATAACCTACTTTGTCCTCTGTTGAGAATTCGGGCTTTTATGCATCTGTTTCTGTTTCAAAAAAATGAAGCAAAAATGCATATTTTATTCAATAAAAAAAGGTCTCGAAGCAGCGCTTGGAGTCTTTCGGTCGCCCTTCAGTTGCACCATTACTCAGTGTTCTGTGCACTATGGCTGTGTGATGCTACTTCTAATGGTCTGTGAAGTCAGTCTCTTCCTTAATGGGTTGTTCTGTCATCCAAAACAGCACTGAGTGACATGCAGGCAGTGGCCTTCCCGACCATCCTAGTACTTTTCTCCCTGCCCTGGCCGAGTTGCCATCAGTTGGACAGGTGGGGTGACAGCAGCCCTCACCTGTATCTCTGCAGGTCTACAGCACTGTCACTTTGATCACGCTAGCACACGATTGGGCAGGTGTCAGGACAGAGCCCCTACTGATTGGCCTCGCAGCTCGCAGCCTGACATGGCTCGAGGGAAATGTTGACTGCATAGGCAAAGTTATGGCAGAACTGTTCTCCTATCGGTCTCTAAAGTCAAGGCAGTGACAGTGGAATGTTATTGACTGAATTTTATTAATAGCTGTGCTGAGATGACGGCTTCAGAACCCTGCACTCCCCTACTGTACATCAAGTTGTTGTGTACATGATATCACTCTGTGGTTGAATGTTAGACCTTATCAACCTCTAGTGTCAGAGTTGTGAGACTGAATGTAGCTATTCTTCCTTTGCCGATAATGGCCAGTAGTGCTTCCTTACAACAAATGGGCATGAGCGCTGCATAACTTGTAACAAAAGGATAAAATGGAAGGCTAGCAAAGAGAGCAATTGAAAGGATACAGAAATACTGTTAGCACTGTTCTAGACAAAACAAAGAGATCCAAAAAGCCTATAACAAAGAGCGAGCAGAGTAATTTTTCACAATAAACAGGTGTTCTCTGTCGTTTCTTTCTTCTATGGCCAAACTTCCATCAATAGTATGTAAGGGACATTGATTTTTCACAGGGGCTTTTTGAAACCTTTCATTGATTCACACACTTCTCCTACAGCAGAGTGGCATCGATTTTTTTTTTTTTGCTTGGGTAAATAAAGACTCAGCGTAACCACCCAACTCCCCCCAAATCCCTTATTCGCCCCAACAATTGCTTAACCCCACCATTAGAACAAGCATCAGCTAAAAAAAGAAGAAACCCCTGATGAAACAACAGCATAGATAACGAGTAAGACCATTTATGATTAAATGTCTGAAATGGTTTGGGTTGTTTGTTTGTTTTTTTGTTGTACTGCTGCCGGTTGAAAATAGCAAAGAGTATAAACACTGGTTTTGTCAGAGTTGCTGGTTGCCTGACAGGCAAGGTTTTAGTACCACAATGGAAATATTTTTTTATCCAGTATCTTAAACCTGAAGTCTCTGCAGTGATCCAGTGACAGGTGCTGTCACCTAGGTTAGACCCTCTTGGTCAGCTTGGCCCTTTCTGTGTGGTTCTGCCTTGTTGGACTTCTTTCGTCAAAAGATGTTTATTTTTTTCCACTTATCCAATTCAGGCTCACAAACAGGCCGAAGCCTATCACAGCTGCCATAGGGCAAAGAGTAGGGTGCACCCTGAACACATAGAGACAGACAACCATTGGTACTTACACCCAGGGCCAGTAATTACCAATTAACTTAACATGCATGCATTTTGACTGTGAGGGGGAGTCAGAGTCCCCAGAGAGAACCTACACACAGGCAGTGAGAGAACCAGCTGGTGGCTTTAAACCCAGGACCTTCTTGTGCTGAGACAACGGTGGTAACCTCCGCACCACTGTGCTGTCTGGTTAAGGACATAGGTTAAGTTGATTGGCGCTTCTAAATTGTCAGTGGATGTGAATTAGATATTACTTAAAGTGCATAGAAGAAAGCGTATGTCAAGATGTGATTTGCAGTTTGATGGACATTGGTCACTAAGATTTTAAACTCCTTTATAAATGCCAGTACAGATAGTGACAGTGATCACACAAATATTGTTGCTGCATTCTTGACTAGTGTTAAAACATAGTGGGCCTTTTTTAAAAGGTTGTTCTCTTTTTCATCAGATACTTTGTAGACGTTTTCACCATAGCTTTTGTTGTACTGTAAGTTGCTATCCTTACTGCCTTTATCACTACAGTTGTTCCTCTCTTCAGCTCCAGCAAATCAATCATTCCTATCTGACATAAAGCGCATCACAGTTGAGGTGGCAGGGTGGGTATGTCACCACAGGCAGCAGATTTAAAACCGTGCTCCTGGGAAATAGAGATCTTTTACTTGTCGCTGATAGGCTTAATCAGCATTTTGTGAACTCGGATCACAAAGGCATGAATGTAAAGGCAGTCAATTTGCATAGAAAACTTCCACACTTGAGCTTTAACATAGTAGACACAAATAAGGAATAGTGAGGTTTTGTTTTGCTTTTTTTCCCCCGGACATGTTCTGGATTTGTGTGGACTACAATGAGAAATGACAGCTTGTGTGAATTAGCACGCTATGGAGGTGTGGCACGCACTGTCACCTTTGGTTGGACTTCTCTCATTTTTCTTTAGTGCTGCCGTTTTAGGTCTTTAAACTCTCAGCCTCATAATAAAAAGCATTTTTCAAAATATGATCAAAAGATGGAGTCAGGAAATAAAAGCCTGCGATGAGAATGTAATCAAGTAATCGTGCATCAGAACGTCAACATCGCCGGTGTCAGGGCAGATGTGGTCACACCCCAAGACAGTCTGTAGTTATCCTTGTCCTCACTCTTCTCTCCCCCTTTCAGCGTCTCTTGCTTTTTCAATCCTTTTCTAACCTCCACAGCTCTGGGTAATATTCTAGTGTTTTGTTTAGTGGAGATATTGTTTTGAGAGAGAAGACATTTATTTTGCGAGCTGGACTCAGGGATGTGAAAAGAGTGCAATTTCAGCTAAACTGTTGTTTTTATTGGATAATATTTCTTTGGAAGAAAATTTTTCTGTCTGCTGGCTCTCGTTCAGACAAAGAAGCCAGATATTCCGATAAAGTGCGGTTGCATCCCTTAGTAACCACAGACATTATATTGACAGGAATACCACGGTGAGAAAGAGCAGCGAGGAGAACAGTAAGCCAAACAGATGGACTCTTGTCTTCAGTCACCGATATGATCAGAAAGCCTTTTATTGGACATCATAGTTGATTTGTCATTTGTTTCAGTATTTATTGTAGCTATTTATTTCCTGCTAGTAGATTTAGACCCTGTAAGTTAAACGCTGACAAAACACTGACATTTGTATCAGATTATTTGTGTGTTGCAGTGCATCTGG